ACATTAATTTAACAACATTAGGTGTAACACACAACCCTAAAATACAAAACTGATAAGAAAAAACTAAGAAGAAACATAGCTATTTCAACAAAAAAACATCAAATTTGAAATTTAACGCAGGGAATTCTGGGAATGTCAATTTACGGTTATTCACTGTAAATTATACGGTATTTTTCACTTCCAAAAATGGTATACTACCGTAAAATTACATGTAATGTCCAATACAGTTTTTCACCGTACATAGTAGGTGAATTTACCGTTAACCATTTAACAGGTTTTTACTGTAGCATTTTTACAGTCTTTTACCGTTAAATTCACGGCCATTTTTTACAGTGTAAGGCAAAATGGTCAGCACTTTACCCAAACATTACTTTTTTTAAGGTATGGACTGTGCCAAATGCATTTTTGTTTAATAATAAAGTAAAATAAATTCATCTTAAAATCATCATTATTACCCTTGTAATGAGTATCTATGTCAATTTAACCATAATATTTCTCCACTCTGCTTTTTCTGCCAAGAGGAAGAAGAATCTATATTTCACTTTTATTATATTTCTGTTATAGCTCATTCTAAACAATTCTGACTTCAAATATCAGCTTCCCTATTTCTTGTGTTCCACCAGCTCTGTAGTATTTCCATCAGTAAGGTTATTTCCCATTCTGATTGTTCAGACAATAAGGAGATTATGTCTTAAACTTTATGACGAGTAGACTAATTACCATATAGCTAGATAGCCTACCTTAAATTTAAACCCCGCTGCAAAATACTTGCTTCTGACATTTGATATGTTATCTATATTCTATTGTGAATAAAATATAAGTTTATGAGATTTGTAAATTATTCCATTCCCTTTTTACTCACAATTTGTACAGTGTCCCAACTTTTTTGGAATTGGGTTTCTACGTTTATTACTGTCATCACTTCAAAAAGTATCCTCTAATAAAAAATCTCTGAAGACATCTCTTTTTATAGAACGGTTATAGAACGGGTTTTAAGTAAATTTTAAAAAGTTAATATTAACAATTTTATTTTCAAGTGTACTATAAAATAACTGATTTTTTTAATTTTATACTCATTTTGTTTTTAAATATAATAGTATTATCACACGGATTACTTTGTTTATTATTTTACTTTATTAAAATACAAAATAAATAAATGCTATAATACTATTATCACTATTAATAATAATTTTATTTTTATAGTTATATTTAATGAGTCACGCAATGTGCAGTGTGAGTGCCAAACCAAATCTCCAGGTGCTCTCATGAGAACCAGACCGCACCCGTCTCTGCCAGATTCAGAGACTGTATGGGGCCCGTTCTTCGTACGTCGCTAACTCAGTTAGCTGGATGTGATTGTTGATGATTTGGCTTGATCTTGGATTGTTTGGTTCTTCGAAGCTCATCCCGGACTTGCTGTCATAGCAACAGGTCCGTAAATTTAAACCAGCTCGGGAGCGGCTTATTTCATGTAAACAGGATTAGATTGCATCTTTTTAAGCAGAATTGATACTTAAAATCTGTCCGCTACCACCGCTACTTTATTACAAGAGTATCCTACTGATCCAGGGACAATAATTTAAAATAATAATAATTAAAAAATTTATTTAAAGATAATATAATAATGATGTGTAGTCTTTAATACTATAGACACAGCCAGCTTTACTCACTGAAAGATTTATTCGTCATAAAAGTATTAGTCTTAAGCCCCGATAACTATAAAGATAACGATAAAGATATCGTTTTAAAAAATCATTCTCAATATAAAAAAATAGCATAGTTCACACCACAACTATAACGATAACGATAAAGATATAGTTAAAAAAAAATCATTCTCAATATTAAAAAATAGCATAGTTCACACCACACCTATAACGATAACGATACAGAGAAACGATATCGTTGTGATCGCTTTCAAAACGATTTTCTTTCCAGCTGATGAACGATAAAACACTGACAGCCAATCAGAATCCATCCTGCTGTAATGAGCTCAAGAATTTAAAGCGGCAGACGCGCGTGCGCTTAGAATAAACAGACGATATCGTTCTCTGGTGTGGACGCTAATATCGGTATCGTTTTAGTTATCGTTCTTGGTGTGAACGGGGCTTTACACGCATGCTATATACAGATAATGTGAGTCTGCATTCATTTGAGTGCTGACAGATATTGTGGGAGTGGCTTGATGGAGCGCAGGAGATGCAGATAACATGATCTTGACCCTTAAGAAACTTAATAGTATCCTATTGGGCAAATTTAAGAGGTCAGAGTGAAAATCACCCTACAAAGAAAGTGTTAAGACCTAGTTGGGAACACGAGAAAAAAGAGTGTAATAGTTTTGGTTGGAGAGTGGGGAAATTAGTAAGTGATATGAGACTGGAGGAGGCAGGACATGCTCCAATAATTGCTTTATCTCCAGTGCCAATGTGGGTTATGCCCCAACCAAAAGTTGATCTTAGTTTATTAGAAACAAGGCAAAAAGAAGGTGCTTACGAAACAGAGGTTTATGATGTAAGGGAATATATGGGGTCAAGGTATGGAGAATATATGCACATTTTCACAGATGCCTCAAAGGATCCAAAAACGGGTCATGTGGGCTCTGCATTTGTAATACCAAAGTTAAAAGTAAATAAGAGCAGTAGAATATCAGATTGTTTATCAGTGTTTACTGGAGAAATGTTTGCAATAATTATGGCAATAAGGTGGATTAGTGAAGTTAAAATATCCAAGGCAGTAATATGTTCAGACTCAAGTTCAGCCCTAATAAGTTTGAATCAGCAGAAGTCAGAAACAAGACAAGATATGATAATAGAAATTTTTCAAGAATTATACTCACTTAAGCAAAATAGTATAAAAGTTCAGTTTCTGTGGGTCCCGGCACATATTGGGTTGAGAGGTAATGAAGAAGCAGATAATTTAGCAAAAAAGGCCATAGAACGAGAAATAGTTGATATTCAGATTCCTCTTAGTAGGTCAGAAATTAAATCAATTATCAAAATGAATATTTGGAAATTATGGCAGCAGTATTGGGACATAGATACCAAAGGTAGGCATTTGTATCATATACAATCAACAGTGGATAGGGGAAGAGTATCAGGTTGGAGCAGAACTGAGGAGAACATGATTACAAGGTTGCGATTGGGGCATACAAGGTTGAACAGTACAATGCATTTAATAAGTAAACATCCAACAGGGCTATGTGAGGTATGTGATGTTAATGAAACAGTTGAACATGTTATAATGTACTGTAGGAAATATACTGTTGAAGGATGAACTAGAGAATAAGGGTGATCAGTTTACAATTAAGAATGTATTAAATCCAGGAAGAAACATGAAATCAGTATTGTTACAGTATTTGGGAAGAACTGGGTTGAACAAGAAGGTATAAGTGGTGTTTTATTTTATTATTTAAAATATATATTTTTTCTTTTTCTTTTCTTTTTCTCTCTCCTTCAAACCCCGCTTAAGAGGGCTGAGGGAGGACGGAGGAGCTGAAGTCTCTCAGCGGTACAAGAATCAAGGGTGTTTGTATGTGGGTTGGTAGGTTAATCAGGAGATTGTAGATAGAGTGTCAATGGTCCATTTGAGATATAGGTGGCGGTAATGCACTTATAAGTCTGCGATCCGCCGTAAAGCAACAAGAAGAAGAAGAAGAAGACCTGCGCATGCGCATGGACTATAAAAGGCGGGTTCATCCCGTGTTCTTTCTTCTCAGTTCCGTCTTCTTTGACCAAGGTAAGTAATGTCCACTGTGATTGTCTACTAGAAATCTACTAGAAATATTTTTTTAAAGCACGTTCTACAAATGATTCCCCAAAACACGCTCTGTGATAAAGTTGTAAGGATAACAAAAGTGAAATTTAGGATTTTGGGGTAGTTGCATGCTGACCACGTGGCTCGTTTTCGGTGCACGCGGGAAGGTCTAAAATAGACAAAGAAAATGTCACTGGTTTAGTTTTATTCTATTGTTTAGTGCACAGTGTTAAACACAAGTTAGTCCATTGTTTCAACGTTGCATACAGGTCATTTAAGTGACTGTTTTGCAGTAGGTTGTTTCCAGTGTTGAGTAACGCGAGTTACGTAATCTGATTACTTTTTCAAGTAACTAGTAAAGTAACGCATTACTTGATTTACAAGAGAATATCAGAGTTACTTTTTTCCCCCTCTAATTTATTGACAGCTCTCCTGTCCTCATGTTGAGAGAAATCAGAAGATGTTACTGTAGATCTAAAATAAATATGAATATGCATTCATTCATCTCACTCACAAAAAAAAAAACAGACTCAGTATTCCTCAAAATGAATAAAAATAATGCAACTCAGAATATGACGCAAACCTGCAATTAAATGTTAAAACACTTTACGCTTTATGTATTTAATCCCATTCTATTAACCAATGTCTTTGCTTCTGAGTTTCGATGATCCTGTTCAACTGTACTAATAATCACAAATTACTCTAGACGAACATTTGTTTTTTTTTTTTATTGCTGAAGTGTTGCAATTTCTTCTGCATTCTACTGTACGGACGTAAGTCTACTTTCTCTTCAGCCTGAGGCTTATTCATTTCACTTTTGGTGTGAAAAGGCTTTTATATATTTGCCAAAAATAGAACTTTTTATTTTGCAAGCAAGCCCAGTCCAGATTTAAAGCGTAACGCGAAAGTAACGTAACGCATTACTTTCCATAAAGTGTAACATAATTTTTTTTTTTTTTTTTTATTGCTGAAGTGTTGCAATTTCTTCTGCATTCTACTGTACGGACGTAAGTCTACTTTCTCTTCAGCCTGAGGCTTATTCCTTTCACTTTTGGTGTGAAAAGGCTTTTATATATTTGCCAAAAATAGAACTTTTTATTTTGCAAGCAAGCCCAGTCCAGATTTAAAGCGTAACGCGAAAGTAACGTAACGCATTACTTTCCATAAAGTGTAACATAATTGTTTTTTTTTTTTTATAGAGTAACGCAATATTGTAATGCATTACTTATTTTAAAAGTAACTTTCCCCAACACTAGTTGCTTAACTGTCTGTTACTTTGTTTTACTTAATTGTTTTGCAGTATGTGGGCTGTTGGACCATGGAGTTGTGCTGTAGTGCTTACTCAGATTTTGGTGAGTTTAGGTTAACACTAGACTTTGCTTTAAAACTTCTGGTTGCAATGATGACTGATCTTTTTTCCCCAGCAGACCGACACTGTTGACCCTTTATAACGAAATAAGCCAAGTGATCTGAGCAACCATGTTGCCACAATCTGGTAATCCCAGTTTTTACGGTCATTGACGTTTACTGTTACTCCTGTCCCTACAGATCATACTGGAGCAGAATGGATAACCTTAAATTCATCAGACTTTGTTTCATAAGTCATCCACACTCTAAAACGGGTAAGGTTGAACATGTTTTTGGCACATTTGGTTGATATTTATCTGGTGCATATGATGACTGATCTTTTTTCCCCAGCAGATCGATAGTGTTGACATTTGCTCTAAACTTTAAGCCAATTTATCTGAAGCACCATCAGAGCTGCTTGGCATACAAAATAGTGGTGCTTTTCTTGTTCTTGAGTCCTCTTTTTCTTTCCCCAAAAGGAGGAATTTTGTAGTTCTGGAGGACCAGAGGACTTCACACGCTGAATGGCCACATGTGAAGGTATTTTTCAGAGTGTATATTCTGATTTTGTTCACTAACTTGGATTTCATCTAAAATTTGACTTTCACATTTTCTAGGCATTTGAGAGATTTGTTCCTCCGATGGCTCTGCACTGTCAACCCCACGTGGAGAAGTGGGTGACGTACATAATGGTCCCTCTAAGCCAGGGATCTGGCCCACAAGATCCACTTTCCTGCAGAGTTTAACTCTAACCCTAATCAAACACACCTGAGCATGCTAATCAATGTCTTCAGGATCATTAGAAAATCACAGGTAAGTGAGTTTGATCAGGGTTGGCGCTAAACTCTGCAGCGCATTGACCCTCCAGGGCAAGATGAGGAACCGTGCTCTAAGCAGTCCAGCGTTTACCAGTTACGGGGAGGAAAAACCTTTTATGCATTAAAGTTGACCTACAACTGTTCCAACATGGGTGTTTTGTTTGTTTTTTCTTCCTAATCCTAAGAATTATTGCTTGCATTGTATGCAAGTGTATAAATAGTCTTGTAGCTGGCACTTACCTGTTACTTTTACAATAAAACTATTAAACCATGAATTGATTTTTGCATTCGTTAACTTGTTCTCTGCATCTTGCATTCATCCGTGACCTTGAGGTGAAATGTAAATTTAGTGGAACCATTAGCTGAATGAAATTAATAGTTGGTTAGTGAACATCTTATGGCCACTCTGAGCAAAATGAACTAACTTGTACGATTACTGTAGGTTAAGGGATTAAAACACTGGGATTTACATTTCTAACCAGAGTAGAAAGTGTCTTGATGCACTTAAAACCCACCAGAATTATATATTCTACTACACCGTTTAAGTACTCATTCACATCAACCAAGCAGTGGCTGTTTAAACGTTTATTCTTTCATTTTGAGTAGTCACAAAGCTTGCTTCTCAGTACATCTAAAATCGGAATAACTGACCGTATTTGTTTAGGGTACAGAGAAAAGACCATTCCCACCAAGTGCACAGCTCTGCTTTAAACTCTTTTAACAAATGTAGTTTGTTTTCTGACCCCATTTGATTCACAAAGTAAAACCAATATTAATCATACACCCTTTTGTACAAAATATACAGACATGGTGTGAGATGTTGGATGCGACTATATAAGGCATCTCGCACTAAAAAAACCCATTGCGGGAAATCCACCCAAAGCTGCAATAATTCGATCTGTAGTGATCCTCACTGTAACGGCCATCAATTATGAACCAAATAACCTGACAACAAACAAGAGAACACTTTAAAATATGCAACACCTTCACAAAAACAGTTTGTTTGCAATGGTGCATAAAGGCGATCATTTTAAAGAGCAAAGTAGAAAACGATCTTTATATTAAAAGACAATACTCACAAGATCATGCCAAACATGATGAAAATGTTCCAAAGAGCAATGAATATACGAAAGTACCGCAGACTCAGCAAAAACTCTCTGATGCTGTCACCTAAAGACAAAATGCATAAGAGTCTCACACATGATCCAGGGCTGTTTAGAGTTTCTTTTATCTAATATTTGATACATTTCATAATCTATTCTAGATCTAGCCCATGGTAGAGTTAGGGCCTCTGTAATGACCTGTAGCTGTCTGCTCACTGTCTTATTAATAGTATGTCATACTGTCCCAATACATTTAAATAAACTATTATTTCATAATGCAACGTTAATGCATTGTTGTTACCAGTTCTGGACGATCCAGATTCATCGCCAAACCCTTGAGACTGCGTTTCTCTCTTCTTTCTGCACACAGACAGTGAACGGCACGGATAAGCAAGCAATCATCCAAATGAAAACTGACAGGTAACTAGTGTTTTCACTCACAGTTTAAAGTTGAGCACAGCGCCGGCGTTCACGAGCAGAGTGCTGAAAACATAAGCGAAAGAGTGACATGGAGAAGAAAACACACTGCTGTTACACTCTGGCAATAGTTCACTGCACATACAGACATCACGAACTACCTTCTGTTTAAGAATAACGCGGAAAAATTGTGGAATTTACCCAAAAATGATAAGATCTGCAATCATTTTGGCTGATTATATCCACCTCGGTTCGTCCTCTTCTTCGTCTATCTTTGTATGAGTTCAATATGAGTCGTTAGGTCTTCATCGCCACCTGACGCCAGATACACGACACGACAATCCTGTTGCTGTGCGCTGCAGGGCTCCTCAAGCCCTGGTCTGGCGATTATGGTGGCAGAGAAGTGCAAAACAAATCACAATTCTGAAAACAAAATAACAAATTACAAACGCAAATGCAAGTCTAAAAAACAAAATAACAATTCAGAAAACATTATAACAAGTCAGAAAACACAATGGCAAATTCGAAAACAAAATAACAAGTCAGTTGTTATTAACAAGTTATATGATACATAGTAGTATCATATAATATTAAAGGCAAAAAGTCAATACATTAAAAAAAATCGAATAGCCTATTTGATTAAAATAATACAATTATACTACTAATAATATTTACTATTATTGATGTAATGTACAGCGTTTGTTCATTTTACTAATACATTTTTTTTATGTTTGAGGGACAAAAATGCAGTACTTTAAATATGACAATTCTCAGAATAGTTTTATACCCAGATAGCACACGTACGTCTGCAAGATGTCTGTTAAACATCACTTCATCTGGAAAGCACCTGCTGTGTACAAACATCTGATAGACGTCTTTAAGATGTCAGTTTTACATACGTTCTAAATCATTAACATCTTAAAACATTTACATAAACATCTATTTGACATCTGATAGGAAACGTCCTATAGATGTATTGCAGATGAGCAAACACTCTAAAAATACGTCTTGCAGATGTAAATGCAGACATCAAACAGACTTCTCTGCGATGTACGTGTGCTGTTGCGTCCTGTGCACTCTGCTACTATGTGCATGATGAACTCTACCATGTAGTGTATTAATTTTATAAGGTTATTTTGTCATTCATAATCTGAGTCTGATACGTAATTAAGGCTGCAACAGTTGAGTACATGACGTGTCCAACACGCCACATTTCGTATTTTCAGTTAATTAAGTGCATTATGGGTATTTAAAGTGCACTTTTTCTTTTTGGAATCTTTAGTGTGAACACACACCATTTATACTATAAAACAGCATGGAGTAGTGCATAAGTATGCGATTTGGGACGCACCTTATGTTAATACTTTTGGTCGTGGCAGGGCTAGATCTGCTACGCACACTGCTGCTGAGCAAGTATATGTTTGCTACTGCCAATGAATACACAGACACACTTCTGTGAGCTTGTAAGATATGCAGCTGCTTTATGAATGGCCATACATAAATCCCTTAACAGATCTAGACAGGTGGAGCTGGGGGAGGTGGAAGGTTTAAGAGGAACTCTGATAGCATGCAGCAGGACCAGCTTACAGCGAACACTGAACCAGACTATTTAAAGGGGTCATATGATGCGATTTCAAGGTTTCCTTTCTCTTTGGAGGGTTACAAGCTGTTCGTGAATAGATACGATCCCTGAAGTTGCAAAGACTAAAGTCTAAAAACCAAAGAGATATTCTTTATCAAAGTTAAGACTCTGCCACGCCCTCCTAAAATGGCTAGTTCTAACACTCCCTCACATATCTACCTCACTATGTGGAAATATTAGCATAATGCCGCCCAAATGTGCACACAAAGAAAGAAGGCGTGGTTTCAGTAACCGCAGTTAGTGTTGAAGCAGCATGTCAGGGAGACGCTGTGTGTTTCTAGGCGAAAGCAAAAGCATTTTATTTGGCCTTCCGAAAGTAGATGCATTTAGGAATCTTTAAGATTACTTACAACAGAACAGCAATGCATTTTATGGACGACCGTTTCGTGAACCTAGGAGAGGAGGTAATTCTGACTTTGCTATGACAATCTGGCGCTTCTGAATCAGCTACTGTTTTGTTATTAGTTTAAGTATTTGCTATTGACTGTTCAAATGCGGAGTTTTGTGCATTGTGTGTGTGTGTGTGTGTGTGAGAGAGAGAGAGACAGCGTCACATCACAGTGGAGTCAGCTGTCTTAACCGCGGCTTGTGTACTGCATCATTACTGTGTCTGTTCCCCTTTCTGGCTTGAACTGATGGTAAAACTAATGACATTATTTACAGTCTTTACATTTATTTTGAAAGATGAAGCTCGCGATTATGGTAAGGGGCGGTACATTTCCGACGAGTGCTTGCGGTGTTCGGCCAATCACAATGCACTGGGTCAGCTGGCCAATCAGAGCAGACTGCGCTTGTCGGAAGGAGGGACTTTGTAGAAAACTAAGCGTTTGAGAGAGGCGGGGCATAGAGGACCTACAATAATGTACAGTATTTGAAAAATAATGTGTTTTTTTTAACATTAAAGTATGTCAACATATTCTGTTACACCACATACACCAAATAATAATCTTTAAAAAAGCATCATATGACCCCTTTAAATGTTGAGAAAGCAAGCTCATTTGGTTGCAGAATCAGCAAAGGCCAATCCCCTTGCGCTGTGTAGTAAATTTATTGCATGTAAAGGTCCTATCAGTCAGCGTCATCTAGAGTTTCATGACTCAGATATTGTTCCCTAAAAATTAGTTTCAAACAATAATAGGTGGGTCACATACCCTTACTGGAGATTCCTGCTTTTAAGTTAATATTTAACTTCGGTTCTTCATGTGACTATATGATAACATGGTACAATCATGGAAACAGATGGTAGTACAATGGGAATTTGACCACAGAACAAAAAACAAACATTGTATTGCCATGATATATTGAACATATCAACATTGGTAAATATTCACTATGTTACAGAAATCCACACAGTAATGATTTATGCAACATGTTTTTCACTCAATAGAATATCAATTATGTAGTATCATGGTACTATGGCATATTTAAAGAGTACAGTATCTACTACATGAACAATCCATATCCAAAAACATGGCAGCAGCCTATAGGAATGTTTTGTTAGTGATATGCTTAAACGTTTAATTAATTCATCTTTTACAAATGTATGAATAGCAAGACGAGGTTTTAAACAGAGTATAAAAGGCGGTCACGACTATACAGATTTTATGCAATGATAATAAAACAGTTACATCTGGTTTTCACGATCGAACAAGCTTGATTGATGATAATGAGCGCGCGTCGCGGTCATGCAGTAAGCGGCAGTAGCTCCTCCGCATGAGACGCGTGTGTTGATTTCACCTCAGTAGTGCGCCTGAGCTTGTGCTGTGTATTAATAGGCATCTGCATGTGAGCGGAGCCTTTTACTCGTGCGCACGGCGAGTCTCTTGAAGATCTGTTCATGCGGTAGGGTCAGAACATCATGGAGGTGCTGGATGTCCTAAATCTGGGCGAAATTGCCCAGTATTTCTCGAAAATGGCGATGTTTCCAGTTTTTGATGTCGCTTATTATATCGTGTCAATACTCTACCTCAAATATGAACCAGGTAAGTGGAATTGTTCTTTAGGCATAACAACAGAATATTGCGCTTGAGCTTTATTTGGGTCAAATTGAAAGGACATTATTGATCATTCTTTGCATTTGCGCGTGAATCAGTATGGCATATAATTGAATAAACAGCGTTAAATATGAAACAATGAATTCTCAAGCCATGAGATAATTAGAATTGTTTTCAACAAGTGTTATGTAATTTGTCTCAGGGTTTACTGTCATATGGCATTGTGTTTGCAACATGCAGAACAGTCCTATAGCCTATGCGTATTTTTATATTTTATCAATGTCTCTAAGTCTCATTCAGCATTTTCTTTATTCTTGGGGTGGGAAGAGTTGTCCCACTCTTGAAGAGCCTCCTCGAAACACGATAGAGTCCGTGCACATTCCACTGCGAGTCTCACTGCAATAAATAGAAGCGCCCTAAATAGTCAGCAGCAGTGGAAAGGACAAAACGAAGCCCAGTCAATTTGTTAAGCAAATGTATGTAACTTAGGACTTGCTTCCATTTAACGAATCATATTTGAAGTCGTATTTCACAATTAAATCAAAATAGTTTATTTATGTAGTTTGCATGATTTGAAATATGTAATTTAATTGCGAGTTCAGCGAGCAGTTTTTGAGATTTGGAACTTTTCAGAAAGTTCAGTCAGAACTTTTTTTGAAATGACAAAAAAGTATCATTAAAGTACATTAGAAAAGTTGTGATCAAATCATCAGTTCATATCTTTTGAATTAATCACTTTATCCTATTTTAGGTTCAGTTAACTGCCCATGTGGAGAGGAAGATTGTCGGTGAATAACAATGCAAATTTTGGTCTGAGTGTTTACACAAAGCTATCACTTGGCAAACAAGCTGTCCAGACCACTTTTATGAATTTCCATTTTTACATGATAATCACAGGACATTTTGGACTTCGCTGTGTATTTATATATGAAGAGTTCAGATGCAAAAACCTCTAAGAGCCGTCTGAATTTTTCCGTCTAAAATTCTAAAATCTCTCAGGCTCCTATGTTTATGTTGAGTTATTTCACTTCAGTGGCAATGAAAAGAACCTATTCATTGCCATTAACGTGAAATTACTGAACTGACACATAGGAGCCTGATAGAAATGCTCATTTTAGGAGAAAATTTCAAACGGCACTTAGAGGCTTTTGCATCTGAACTCTTCAAATGTATACATGTAAAGTAAAGTAAAGTGCTGGAAAGTGATCTGTAATGATCTGTGTTAATCAGGTGCTGTGGAAGTGTCCCGTAAAAGCCCAGTGGCCTCATGGCTTTGTGCAATGCTCTACTGCTTTGGAAGCTACATACTAGCAGACATCATGCTTGGTGTGTCTCCCATCGACTATTTCCATAACAACAGTCACATTCTCCTGGCCTCAGCTGTGTGGTGAGGATCTTTAAATGGTTCAGTGCTTGTACACTTTGCATATGACACTGAAGTCACTTCGAAGATCACTTCAAGATAGATCTTCAAGATAGATCTGGATATAAAATCTGAACATTTCATTTTTCATTAACCAGTTATAACATTATCATTTTAATAATTAAATACATTATTAATAAAAAAAAAAATAATAAAAAATTAATACATTAATAACCATGCATGTTTTTTGATAACCCAATGAATGAAATACATAATCTGATTATGAACTCTTAATCTTAAAAAAGCTAATAGTACAGTTAAACTAATATTACTGAGAGTAAAAGTAATATTATAAAACAAACTTTTTTAACTCTACATTCTGAAGCCATTATAAATAATCCATATATGCAGTATTCTATATTAATGTGGTAAGTTGCTAGGCTACCATAAACAGCTAAACTCTTTGTGTTACATCCCTAAATAACAACTTTGTCCATATCTTGACTTGAAGATGTCTGATATTTCCACATTTACTCCATGTGTCTTCATTGTCTACAAATACAAATAATATAAAGCAGTTCTACAGTCTAATAGCTGTGTGAATATATCATAATTAGTGCTTACAAATGATTAATCGCGATTAAGCGCATCCAAAATAAAAGTTTTTGTTTAAATAATATATGTTTGTGTGTGTACTGTGTATATTTATTATTTATATATAAATACACACACATGCATGTATATATTTAATAAAAATACGTTTTGTTTATATATAAAATATTAATATTTATATATAATCTAAATTATATTTGAATATAAATATACATGTAAATATTTTTAAAATATATACATGGATGTTTGTGTATTTATATAAACATTATAAATATTAACAGTACACACACATATATTATGTAAACACAAACTTTTATTTTGGATGCGATTAATTGCGATTAATCGTTTGACAGCACTAATCAAAATATATCGAAAAACATAAACATACAGTATAAACATCATACCGTCCAGTCCTATTTACTACCTAGTTTACTGGTACCTTTATTAAATCCTCTTCTTCCAATATCATACGTGAACCTGTAAACAACAGGGTTCTTGCTTGAGTATCTGTTATTGTGTCTTTGTATCAGAAAGTGTTTTTTCTTCTCTTTTTTCAGGTACCTGATTTTCTTCTGCCCTCTTAACCTGTTCTACAAATGTGTGGCGTTTCTGCCTGTGAAACTTGTGCTCGTGGCAATGAAAGAAGTGGTCCGCACACGTAAAATTGCTGCAGGAGTTCATCATGCTCAACATGCGTATCACCATGGCTGGCTGATCATGGTCATTACTGGTTATGTTAAGGGTAAGTATCTTATATCTCCAGAAGCATTTATTTTTAGGGGTCATGTAACACTTTCATAAGACCCGTTAAAAACTCTTTCTCGGGAGACCTGTGCCGCTCTGCTGATTGTCTCTGTTAATACTCACAGGGTCAGGGGTCGCTCTCATGTCCAATTTTGAGCAGCTGTTGCGAGGAGTCTGGAAGCCAGAGACCAATGAATTTCTCAACATGTCATTGTGAGTGGAAATTTTTGGAGAGTCATCTCTTTTCCACTGACATTTTGTAGAGACAATGGGCCAGTTGCATAAACATAGCCTCTATGTTAAGACTGTCTTAAGAACTAGTTTGACCAACTAGCAGTTAGCCAAGAGGTAATCGGTCTTACTTTTCTGATTCGGGCCAATCTACCTTTTTGTAAATTATTTTGAAAAAAAAAAGTTTGAAAAATTGTCTGTTTAAATTCCAACAAGGACAAAAAAACACCATAAAATAGCATTAAAAGCAGTCCATGACTCATGTGTTTCATTCAGTCTTCTGAAGCCATTATAATTATGAGAAAGAGCTGTTCATGTTTTAGATGAATGACTTGTATAAATGTTTGGAATGTGATTCTTGTATTTTTCAGCCCTACCAAGGCCAGTCTGTATGGAGCCATTCTGTTCACCCTTCAGGAGGCTCACTTGCTCCCTGTGTCTAAAAGCATGCTCATCTGCCTCTTCACACTCTTCATGGCCTCAACCAAGGTAATAATACGCTTGCTTAAGAAGCTGAAATATAAGGGAGAGTGTAAATATCAGAAAACACAAATGTAACTCAGTATTTTCGTCTAAAAAGGAATCAAAGTGTAAAAATCAAAGACACCATGAAGCATTAAGATCCCTCATCAACTGTCCACAACAATTATGATGACTTTTCACCAGTCTGAATTCGTTCATTGACTGAATGCCCATAAATTGTCAAGGCAAATGTTCAGCAAATTTCCATGATACTTAACATAAAGTAAGCCCTGCTTTGCAAAATTAGCTCTCTTTCAGAGGGAAAGTTTGCCAAGATACATGGTCAGTAGTTTTATCTCAAAGAATGACTCTATATGGACAGAAGTATTGGGACACACCTCTTAAATTACTGAATTTAGGTGTTTCAGTATAGGATGCAATGCCACAGGTGTATAAAATGAAGCACCTAGCATGCAGTCTGCATTTACAAGCATCTGTAAATACACACTCTAAAAAAATGCTGGGTTAAAATCAACCCAGTTTGGGTTATTTGGCAACACAGTGCTGGGTAAATATTGGACAGGACACATGCTGGCTTATTTGACCTAGCTGGTTGGGTTAAATGTTTTTACTCAACATGTTCGGTTGTTTTATTTAAGTCAACTACTGTTCATAATTGTCTGTGTATTTAGAATGCAATGTCATAGTGGTCAGAGGTCCAAATACTCCATATATTGCATCCCAAAAATTGAAGATAAACATTGAACATTTTTCAATATAAATTGAAATGCCCATTATACACTCTAAAAATTGTTGGGTAAAATATGGACAAACCCAGTGATTGGGTTGTTTTCAACCAACAGTTGGGTTAAATGTTTAACCCAACGGTCTGGGTAGTAACCCAAATGCTGGGTCAAAACAACCCAATCGCTGGGTTTGTCCAGATTTCACCCAGCACTGGGTTGTATTTAATCCAGCATTTAAAACATACACAAACAAAACCAAATTAAACCCTGTGGCTCGTGACAATACACTGATGTGTAAAGACACGGAACAATCGGTCTGCGCAAGAAACTGAACAGTATTTATATCGTTTTTTACCTCTGATTTACTGCAATGTCCGAACTGTTCAAACTGTCCTGAGCGCGTTTGCGTCTTCTTCTTCAGCCGGCAGGTGACGCGTCGTCTTCTTCTTGCTTTACGGTGGATCGCAGACTTCGTAGTGCATTACCGCCACCTAGCTCTCAAATGGACCATTGACGCTCCTAATTGAGATTGTAGATAGAGTGTCGGTTGTTGAGAACGCGATCAGGACAGTTCGGACATTGCGTGAATCAGAGGTAAAAAACTATATAAATACTGTTCAGTTTCTTGCACAGACCGATCATTTCGTGTCTTTACACATCAATGTATCGTCACGAGCCGCAGGGTTTAATTTGGTTTTGTTTGTGTATGTTTTTTTGACTCTCAAAGCCGTGATTCCCGTTCACTTCCATTATATGACTGATAGACTGCAACGGTTTGAGTTAAAAATCTTCGTTTGTGTTCTACTGAAGAAACAAAGTCACCTACATCTTGGATGCCCTGGGGGTAAGCAGATAAACATCAAATTTTCATTTTTGGGTGAACTATCCCTTTAATGGAATGAGTTTCCATGGCTGAGCAGCTACATGCAAGCCTCACAGTACAATGCCAAGCGTCGGATGACCAGGCACGGCGCCATACATTTTTCTCTACCGATGCTAAGGGGGGGCTAGACCAATTTGTGGGGTTGCTAAGAAAATAAATGATATTGATGACGTCAGACTAAACCGGGGCTATTCAAAATTCTGATGGGGCTATAGCCCCCCCTAGCCCCGGTGTAGCGCCGACACTGTAAAGCATGCTGACACTGGATTCTGGAGCAGTGGAAACCCATTCTTTGGTGTGACGACTCACACTTCTTCTGTCTGATGGCTGAGTCTGGGTTTGGCAGATACCAGGAAAACCTTACCTACCTGAGTGCATTGTGCCAACTGTAAAGTTTGGTGGAGGAGGGATAATGGTGTGGGGCTGTTTTTCAGGGGTTGGGCTCGGCCTCTTACTTCCAGCGAAGGGAAATCTTAATGCTTCATCATACCAAGACATTTTGGACAATGCTATTTTAGCTCTGCTGGATAAATGGGCAGACATTCCCACAGAAACACTCTAAAATCTTGTAGAAAGCCTACCCAGAAAATTAGAAGCTGTTGTAGCTGCAAAGGGTGCACCAACTCCATATTAATGTCTATGTATTTAGAATGAATTTAGGAATGGTCCGAGGTCCAAATACTTTTGTCCATATTGTTTATATAAAATATTATATATTATTTTTCAATATAAATTGAAAACCCCATAGTAAAATCTCTGGGTTCTTCCAGGATTGTTTTTGTCGTTTGCAGTACTTTGTTGTTATTCCATTTCATCGGTTTATTGTTTGACTCTGAAACAATGAACCTTGGCAGTGCTGCCACCTTGTGGACAAACTAGTGTAAAAATACTTTTTGCACAGGCAATCATCACTTAACTATTCAGAAAAGGTAATAGCTGAGACATTTCTAACTACATTACTATTCCTTATACAGGTGTTTATGACGGCCCGTCACTCTCACGGATCACCCTTCACCCTCATTGAGTCCTGGCTGTGCCACCTGCTATTCGGTTCGCCCCTTGGTATTGAAGATGCCCATGATCACCACCACTCCGCACCAGCCGCTGCCTCTGCGCCCCTCTTGCCCGCCAAAACCAAGGAGGAACTGAGTGAAGTTACCCGTAAGAGGAAGTCCAAGAAAGCAGAGTAGAGTTACATCTCAAAATCATCAATCCAGCCGGTGATATTACAGAGCGGCCCGGCTCTGCTTGAGAAAGGAGGGAATCTGATGTTAAACCAATGCAAGTTTCTCTTTCAGTGGTGCTTTTAATGTCAGACATGCCACATAGGAACTCTGTAAATAGCTTCCCCCCTCTTTACCAACATCAGTTTTTATTTTTCGTAATGTTTTCCATCATTCAAGCCCCATGCATTGGATGATGTGCAGTTTGTCATGAACAGATGAATGAATGAAAGCCAATGTGATGAGAACCTGCCGCTTTCTGTTTGAGCTCATTGACGCGTCCATCCAAATTACTTGATGAGACCCGTCGTCCACCGCTGGTTGACCCCACTTCCACAGAGCACTGCTGCTTTTATACAGTGGCATAGGGAAAAAAAAAACATATTTTCAAAAAATAAATTAAATTATTTTTCAGCCAAAAGCAGTTGTTTCAAATTATTCCAAATGTTTATGCATTTTGAATACTATACAACAATTATTTCACTTACTGACTTAAATTCATGGTTTTAATGGTTTATTTGAATGATGTTATGAATCTCTGCAATGAAAACGTGTTTTTCATTTGAAAAAAATAGTAAACTTTTATGAAATTGAATGGGCAAAGTTAAATAGATTTTCTTTTCCATGTCCTCAAACTGGTTTTAAATGATAGGTTAAGAACGTCAACCTACCATCAAGGTAGCCGTCGCTTCTCTAAGAGAGTATTTTTGGTCACTGCCTCAACAGAACTGTTTTAAACCCATTTGTGAATGTTGTGGAAACTGAATAAATTGAAAATAAATGATTAAATAGAAAACAATGTGACCAATGTCAGTTTTAAATTAGTGCTATCAATCGATTAAAAAATTTACTAATTAATTGCACATTTTTCTATAATTAATTGCGATTAATTATATTAATATAATATATTAATTTATATAATAAACCTATAAATATAATATATTTTTATTGTCATAATTTCACATTGAATGTCCGTATTATTAATGTAGAAGCGACATAAAGATTTTAAATATGTGTTTATTGGCATCTTTTTACTAAGTAGCCTATATTGTTAATGAAGGCCAGTATCATTGATACTAATGCCAATACTGCTACTGATGTCTCTATTAAATGCATTTTTCCCTCAATATTAGCTATTGATTATAGCCATTCAACATTACAGTATAACATTTAATAGGCTTTGAAAACTATAACAACGTTTAATTTAAGTGAACTTAAAGCAATATTTATATAAACTATAAATTGTATACGCATAAACTAATTGAATATAAATTCATCTTTATTCAAGCTATAAAAGTTACTTGAAAGTTGATTCAGGACATTTGAATATTCTAATAAAATGTCCTTATTTACTGTCTGTTATGCAGATTATGAGGCATCTGAGCACCAAGCCCAGGAAGGCATGTACTGTATGATCATTCAAAATCAGGGTATCTTCCGTCCAATCAATTTTTGTTTTAA